ATTAGCCACAAAGCCAGTTATGTGTTTGTATTTTTTTTAATGCTACTTTTTCTATGAAGCATCTGAAATTGACTACTCTTTTCCTATGTAGAAAACTCAAAATTTAATGCTGTACTTTAATAAAATGTAAAATTGAAAGCCATGTTGTTTCTTTCCTCTTTTAGACACATACATAACTAAAGCCCTTAATTAGTGTTTTCCAGAGTTGATGCCTTCAAATGTTGATCAGATCTCAAAAATGCTAGCATCTGGGCTGCTTGTTTCAAATTAACAAGTAAATAAAAATGAATGTATTTGTAGTATCCAATAAAAGACTTTGAAATACAAGTAGAATGGCTAAACCAGTAATTAACACATATTTCTTCATTTCTATGGTGAGAACATTTGCAGCCTACCTCTTAGCAATTTTAAATATATTACTAAGTAATAGTCACCATATTTTATAGTATCACTCTTTTTATGAGTGTTTTTATTGAATTTTTGTGGATTTCTTATGTTATACTTTGATCATATTTAGAACCCTTCCCTATCTGTACTCCAATTTTCTGTGCCTTAAGACCTGAGTTTCTTATCCTTCTATGCCTATGAGTCATAGGTTTGGTCTTTTTTTGCATTGTCCCATAGGTCTTTGATTCTATGCACCTTTAGAATCAAATTTGTGTCCCCAAATGCATTTCAGTGTAGATTTATTCACTGGAACAGTGTCAATCTACCGAGAGTTTCTCCCTTCAAGGAGTCAGACTCTCCCCCTTTCCCAACAGCTATTTGTTGCCTATAGTTCCCCAGGTAGGGTTGGGGTTTCTTAATCACTTCCCATGTCTATGCTGGGATTTTTGTATGGCTTAAGCTTAGGTGGGACTTATACATTCTATCACCATTGTTGTGAGTTCATATGAGTGACTGATCAACTGTCTGAAATATTCTGTTTCCTTGTGGTTATCTACCACCTCTGGCTCTTACAATCATCCCACCCCTTATTTTGTAATGATCCCTGAGACTTAGGAGGCAGAAGTTTGAAATGGATGTTCTATTCAGGGATAAACTGTCTATAGCCTCTTATTCTCTCCATATTGACCAGTCGTGTTTCTCTGTATTAATCCATCTGTTGCATAAAGAATCTTTTCTCACTGAGGATGATTGTTTCCAGTTGTTTACCTGTGAATTTCATAATTTTATTTTTTTTAAACAGCTGACTATATTCCATTGTGGCTGCACCAGTTTACTTTCCCACCAGCAGTTGATAAGAGCTCCCCTTTCTCCACATCCTCTCCAGCATTTGTTTTTATTTGTTTTTTGGATCTTAGCCATTCTGAGTGGGGTAAGATAAAATCTCAAAGTGGTTTTTCTGATGACTAAAGATGTTGAACTTTTGAAAAAGTATTTCTCAGCCATTTGTGTTTTATCTTTAGAGGATTTGCTGTTCAGCTCACTTTTTCATTGGGTTGTTTGTTTTTGTTTTGGGGATTTTTTTTGTTTTTGTTTTTCATAGAAGGAAGAGTTTATTTGAGCTTATGGTTCCAGGGGAATTACAGTCCATCATGGCAGGGAGGCATGGTGGCTAGAGGTGGCTGGAGCAGGAGCAGCAGAAGCTAAGCTCTCACATCATCACACAGGCACAGGAAGCAAGAGAGCAACTAGAGATCTGGCAGGGCTTAAGAACTCTCTAAGCCCACCCCCAGTGACGTGCTTTCTCCAGGATAGCTACACTTTCTAAAACCTCCCAAAACAGCGCCATCATCTGGGGACAAAATGTCCAAATACTTGGAGCCTGTGGGGGACATTTTCATTAAAACCACCGCATTCCACCCCCTGGCCCCCATAGGCTCATGACCATGTAAAATGCAAAATGCATTTAGTCCAACTTTAAAAGTCCCCATAGTCATTATCAATCTCACTACTATTCAAAAGTCCATGGTCCAAAGTCTATTCTGAGACTCAGGTAAATATCTTAGCTGTAAGCCTCTATAAAATCAAAAGACAAATTACATACTATCAACATACAGTGGGACTGAATACATATTACCATTCCAAAAGGGAGGAATAGAAGCATAGTAAGGAAATACTGGAACAAAACAAGACCGAAAACCAGCAGGGCAAATACCAAATCCAGTAACTCCATGTCCAACTTCTGGGACTTTGGGGTCTCCAAAGGGCTTAGATGGCTCAACCTCTCTAGCTTTGCTCTCTCTTGTGCTGGTACCACTCCCTGTATGCAGGTCTTTTTGGTAGTTGCCTCACATCAGGAACTTCTTGGGGTCTCCATTGCCAACCGGACTTCACCTTCACAGCTTCATGCAATGGCCTATCAGTGCCTTCTCTATGCAAGGGAATCCCTGCTTCACACTGCCTGGACTCCGAGGCTCTCTGAAACCTCAGAGGAAGAATTGATGACCCCTTCACTCTTCTATCTTTCATGCCTCTAAAGCCAGCACCAGGTGAATGACACTGCCAAGTTTGACTGCAAGTTTGGGATGGACTCCACCCTGCTTTATCCATTTTAGAAGCTTTTCTCTTCAGTGGTCCCTGCAGCATTTTCCTTTCATAAATTAGAG